CGTCTTCGGGGCTTGGGCCGTTCTGGGGCAATCTTGGAGGCCTCTTGGGGCGATCTTGGGGCGATCTTTGGGAGCTCTTGGGCCTTCTCGTGCCGTCGGAAAGCCGAGAAGAAGCGAATGCGAAAATCCTTCAAACACCTGAGGAAAATCAATGATTTTGGCCTCTTCGGGCCCTCCTGGAGGACCTCTTGGAGGCCTCTTGGGCCGTCTTGGAGGCCTCTGGGGGGCCTCTTGGCCCGTCTTCGGCCGTCTTGGACTCTCTTGGGCCGTATGGGAGGCCGTCTTGGACCATCTTGGGCGGACTTGGAGGCCATCTTGGACCATCTTGGGCCAATGTGGCCATCTTGGAGACAATCTTGGGCCATCTTGAGCGAACAATTGGGAGAATTGCGGGCCTTCCGGCCGAAGCCCCAGGGGGAGTTCCTTTGCAAAAAGAACCCAAACCAAAACCGTAATAATTCGGCACGCCAGGCACCCCTGCGATGAATCGACAGGGGGCGGTAGATCTAGTGGTTTTCGGCCCATCCCGCCACCTTGCCCTGGTTGTAGGCCAGATGCCTCTTGGATGCCTGCGGGGATCTCTCGGAGGGCCTTTCGGAAGCCTCTTGGAGGCGGTTGTGGGGGTCTTTGGGGCCCCTCGGTGGCATCTAGTGGACCTCTTAGGACCTGATTTGGCTTCTCGGGGGCCTCCTGATTTCACCAGTGTGCCGCTTTCACGACGTTCGCCTGTAGATCTTTCTTCCTCCCCTTCGGATGGCGGCAACTATACACCTACGCCGATCCTTGCGAGGGCGACTCTGGTCACAGGATCGGTGTGTGTGTGTGTGTGTGTGTGTGTGTGGGTGTGGGTGCTTCTTCCGGGCCAGGCCAGGATAGGACGCATGCGACGACCCTGGGCCTGGCTGGGTCTGGCCAGGATCGGTGTAGGCGTATAGCTGGCGTCCGCTCTCTCTCTCTCTCACTCTCTTTCCCGCCGTTCGTTTGAGACCGCGCCTGGGTTGCCCCAGGTAGCGCGGAGAGACTGGGTATGGCGACGACGACGACGACGAGCGGCGGCGGCGGCGTCGAGCGGCGGCGGCGACGACGGCAGAGGCGACGGCGATGGCGACCTCGGCGGTGGCGGCTGTAACGGCGGCAACGTGCGGCGACGGCGCCGCGCGCCTGCGCCAGGAGGCCACGCACGAGGTGGAGCTGGAACTCGACGGGAAGCTTCTCCTGCAGAACCTGCGGGCCAAGCAGGCGGGGCGCTCTGGGGACCGCGGGGCGAGGGCGGGGGGGGGGGGGGCGACGCTGGGGCGTGCCCTGAGTGGGCGACGCTGGGCGACGCTGGGGCCTGCTTGGGAGCCCAAAGAGGTTATGCACATCAAGTAAGAAGTTGGCCTGCCGGCAGGCCAGGCGCCCCGCGTTGTTTTTGTATCCCACGATGGTTTGCCGGAGCTTTTGGACACCATCAGACCTTCAAGTATCGACGAAGAGCGTGCCTTCATTTCTTGTAGCAGTAATTCTTACCGTATGTGCCTTGTGTATGAGGCTTACTGGGGCGCGCCAGCGATGGTTCCCCAGGTCCCTGCAAAGGCCGGTGTGGCCTTGACGGGTCGGGAGCGCCAGGCGAGAGTGGGCGCGGCCCGACCAGCGGGAAGAAAAACGACGGGACGGGATGAGGAGGAGGAGGAGGAGAAAAAGGAGGAGGAGCAGGAGGAGGAGGAGGAATAGGAGGTGGAGGAGGAGAACCAACGACAACTAGACGCATCTGCGATATTGCAGTAAACCGTACCTGAAAATTCCCAATAGGTCCCTGCGAGAATATGTTTACAAAACGGGAAATGCCCCATTGGAAGGCGACCGCTTGAGAATCCCCCATCGTGCCAAAACGTTCTTCTTGGGACATCAGCGCCGCGAATCAGCGTGACTGTTACGCCCTGACAATCCTGAATATGCCAGGGCACGATTTCTGGGACTTCCACGCCGCGAATCCACGTGATTGTTGCGTCCTGACAATCCCAAATCATGCCAGGGCACAGTTCCCTGGCACTCTGACCGTAAGAGTCCTTGAAGCGGTCGTCTTTTATTTGGGGGGGGGGGGGCGATGAGCGCGGCGCGACAGGCACATGTTGAAAAGGAACCATCAGCCATCCCTGAAGAAACGAGTGTGCGCGGCGCTAAAGCGAGAACCACATCTCGAGAAAGGATTCGCTCTGTACCTTTGAAGCTGCTGCAAACTTTTGAGACGAATGTGCGCGATGCCGAGGCGAACGCCGTATTTTGAGACGGCTCACCCTCAATCCTTGACGTGATTGCAAGCGTTTAAGACGAATGTGCGCGGCGCTAAGGCGAGAACAACCTGCTGAACACGACCCATTCTCCATCTTTGAAACCGTTGCACCTTTTAAGACACATGTGCGCGGCGCTACGGCGAGAACAACGTTTAGAAATCGACCCGTCTTCCATCCTTAAGGCTGTTGTGTGTTTCAAGCTTCAGGACCATAAGTGGTGAGGATGCCCAATGCGAACGGCCGACCCGCTCGACCGACATATTCAGGGATGCGAAGTGGAGGGGCTATTTTTCTTAATTCAAGCGGATGTAGGAGGAAGAGGAGGAAGAGGAGGCGGAGGAGGAATTTGATGATGATGAAGATGAAGATGAAGATGAAGATGAAGATTATGATGATGATGATGATGATGCTGCTGATGATGATGATGATGATGATGACGATGATGATGCTGACGATGATGATGATGCTGATGATGATGATGATGTTCACGCTGATGATGATGCTGCTGATGATGATGCTGATGCTGATGCTGATGCTGATGCTGATGCTGCTGATGATGATGCTGCTGATGATGATGATGATGCTGAGGATGATGATGATGATGATGGTGGTTATGATGATGATGATGACGATGTTGATGATGATGATGGTGATGATGATGAATGATCATGATGCTGCTGCTGATGATGATGATGGTGGTGGTGGTGGTGATGATGATGATGATGGTGATGATGGTGATGATTGGGAGGATGAGGAGGCGGAGGAGGAGGCGGAGGAGGAGGAGGACGAGGAGGAGGAGGAGGAGGAGGAGGAGGACGAGGACGACGACGAGGAGGAGGAACAAGTGGAGGAGGATGAGGGGAGGATGGAGGTAGGGAGGTAGAGAGATGGATGGATGGATGGATGGATGGAGGGAGGGAGGGAGGGGGGAGGGAGGGGGGAGGGCGGTAGGGAGGAGGAGGCGAGGAGGAGGAGGAGGAGGTGGAGCAGGAGGGGGAGGAAGAGGGGAGGGGGAGGAGGAGGGAGGAGGAGGAGGCGGAGGAGGAGGAGAGAGGGAAGAGGTGGAGCAGGAGGGAGAGGAAGAAGGGGAGGATGAGGAGGATAAAGATGATGATGAGGAAGGGGGAGAAGGAGGAGGGAGGCGGAGGGTGAGCGGGAGGGAGGAGGGGGAGGAGGAGGAGGAGGAGGATCGTGTTCGAGTTCGATCTATCGAGCTATTGGCCCCCCTGTCCTCGTTCACTGTGACACTACAGAAGAAGGAGTAACAGAAGGAGGAGGAGGAGGAGGAGGAGGAGGAGGAGGAGGAGGAGCAGACGGACGAGGACTAACGCACATATAGTTTATTGTTTTGTTTGTGCATCGATTTCGGCCTCTGGGGCTTGCTCGAGGCCCCTGGACCGCGAATAATCAATCCACTACGGAAAAACTTGCCAGGGACGCCGCCGACGCCGTGGCCGTTACCAGCGCTGCCGTCGTCGTCGCCGCCGCCGCCGTCGTCGCCGCCGTCGTCACCGCCGTCGTCGCCGCCGCGGCTGTCGCCGCCGCCGCCGTCGCCGTCGCGGTCGCCGCAGCCGCCGCAGCCGCCGCCGCCGCTGCCGCCGTCGTCGTCGCCGTCGTCGTCGCCGCCGCCGTCGTCGCCGTCGTCGTCGTCGTCGTTGTCGTCGTCGTCGTCGTCGTCGCGTCCGAGGTCGGCGGCCGCCGACGCGCACCGCGCGCGCACGACCCCCCCACCGGGGCGAGAGGCGGGGCTCGAGCACAAGCTGTGGGAGATGATCCCGCCCACTTGCGCGCCGCGCGCGAGCGCGCGCGTGTCGTCAGCGTGCGGGGCCTGTCCGACGCGCCTCGCGGGGGGGGCGGCTCGGCAGCCTCGGAAATCGTCGTCGCCGCCGTCGCCGCCGTCGCGGCCGTCGCCGTTGCCGTCGCTCGCCTTCGGCGGCGGCGGCGGGCCTCGGGACGGGAGGCCCTCACCGGGCCTCGGGACCGTTAACAAACGACTCGGGATGAAAAAATCCAGTCCCGGGGAAGGGGTCCAGACCTCTGGGGATCGACGTTGAGAAAAAATCGCGACGTCGGGGGTCTGGGTCCGGATGCATCTGGATGCAGCTGGCGCGTTGCTTTGTTCAGGGGCGTGTATGAGTTCGCAAGGAATCGAGAGCGAAGGGGAAATAGCGGCTTCCCCGAAAGGAAAGGAATCGAGACGAATAACAGGGGTAGTAGGGTGAGGAGGGATGATGAGTAGGAGGAGCAGCAGAAGCGGCATCAGGGCATCCTTCGCCCCCCCTCAGGGTACATATCGATCCGATCGATCCGATTCAATATCGATGCCGTCTGGCTCGATCTGACTCGGTTCCGATATTCCGCCGATCCGATGCGGCCCGACGCTTGCATGGTGTTGCTGTGTCTCCTGGCGCAGCCGACCCGATTCGAGTTCGATTCCGTGCCGATGGAGCCCGATCCGACGCACACTTCGATGCGAATCCGATCTACCGATTAGATGCTGACTGATCAGTTCCATCTTCGATGATTTCGATAGACACTTCGAGCAGATGTCGAGCAGATCCCTTCCCACCGAGCGATTAGATTTGATTTGGTCTGCCCCTCCCCGCGCCCTCCCAGCCGCCAGCCGCGTTCGGCAGCAGGCTCGAGGCTCAGCCCCGCTTGCGCGCTCTCTTTCCTTGCCCCCATCGGCCCCGCGCTCTTCCAGAGCAGCTCGCGCGGCGAGGCAGCATGACCGGTGCTGCGGTGGACCCCAAGGTCTCCTGAGGAGGAGCAGGGGTAGGAGGTGGGGAGGGGGGCGAGGAGGAGGATGAGGATGCGCCAGAGGGTGGGTCGAGTGAGGTAGGGAGGGAGGGAGGGGGAGAGTGTGGGAGTGAGGGAGGGAGGCGCGAGGGAGGAGAGAGGAAGGAGGGAGGGAGGGAGGAGGGAGTGAGGAGGAGGAGGATGAGGAGGAAGAGGAGGAGAAGGAGGAGGAGGACGAGGAGGAGGGGGAGTGGGGCGAGGGAGGAAGGAAAAGGAGGAGGGAGGAGGGCGGGTGGAGGGAGGAGGGAGGACAGAGGAGGGAGGACGGAGGGAGGAGGGAATGAGTAGTAGTAGTAGTAGTAGTAGTAGTAGTAGTAGTAGTAGTAGTAGTAGTAGTAGTAGTAGTAGTAGT